TGTGTGCGACCGACCACACAGAGCTGGGGCAGCCCGGGCAGACAGGGGCTCCTGCCCGCCAGCAGCAACCCTCAGCAGAGCCGTGCAGCTCAGCCAAGGGATGGCAGCGAGGCCCAGTCTCAGCCGAGGCGGGGAGAAGCCAAACCAGCGGCAGCACTGTGTTTCGTGTTTTCTTACCGCCTCTTCCTCCATATTGGTTGCCCTAAGGCCTGGCCAAGGTGGGTTATGTTTCCAGCAGGCTCTGCCCAACCCTGGCACCTGCAGAGCCACATGGATTGGGAAGGATTGTCAGGGTGGTCAGGGACAAGGGAGAGACACATTCACAGACTCTTCAGGCAGGTCAGGAAACACGTGTCTCTTCAGTAATGGATTGTGCAGGGGCTTAAAAAGAAGGCCATTCAGTCCATCTTACCCAGAGCTGGATCTTTTGCTCCAAAGGGAACTGCAAAGACAGAGCTGCTTCCTCAGGCTCCCTGGCTACTCCTGGGAGATGGAGGTACAGTTGCCTCTTGCTCAGAGCTCCCCATGTTTGACTTAGTGGTCTGAAATGAGTGGAAACATCTGAGGAAATCCTCAGCATTGCCCTGTTTCGAAATACGAAGTGGTCAGAGGTATTGGGCAGAATCTCAACAGTCTTTCATTCCCTGTGGAGATTGCCCTGCCTCTCTTAAACAGGTGAGGTGCTTTGTCACCTAGTATTTGGGTATGTTGTCTGGTGCCCAGCCCTCAATGTGTGGCAACTTCTCCTGTTGTTGAGAACAACACTCCTTGGCTTGCATTTGCTGGATTTGATCACCAGCTTGACCACATGCTGGAGCAGATGCTAAGGGAAAGGGCACTGAAAGCTTAAGCAACACTCCTTCTCCTTCACACTTGGTGACCCAAGAGCAGTGGAAGAGTGAAGGTCAGGGGGCTATGTGTCAGTCTTCTCTGGTCTCCTCTCCTCACCTGGGCAGCCCTTGATTCCAAACTCCTACAATTTCTACCCTGTGATGAGAGAGTGGTCAAGATGCAAAGGTCCCTGCTTCTAAACAAAGCACAGCAAATAACTCCACAGCTTTCAAATCTCAGTCTCTTTATTACAATTCTCACCCTAATAACAAAGCTGAAAAGGTTCCACATCATGTGGGAGAAGATCACAACGGCTGTAAATTCAGCAGAATGGCTTTTTGCATGACACCTTGGGGCCAGAAGTATCCATGAGCCAGAGCACTTCCTTCTGAAGGGGAGATGGAAAGAAGGCGTAGAGGGCAAACAAAACTTCCCGAGGGTTAACCAGGGACTCCCCAGCATCCTGGCTATAGTGTCCATTCTTACACACTTCCAGCAGCACAGAGATGAGACATGTCCATTTGTGATGAGAGATTCACCATAAGAGTGGTGAAATCCCTGCTCCAAAATTCGCATTTGAGAGGTGTTGCTTTAAAGTATGAGCTGAGGATAGCATACGCATGTAGAGACTACAGTGATATGCAAAGCACCATCAAGTATTAGAAGAAAAGAAAGCACCTGAGAAATGTAACTGAGCATTTTGCATATGATCTGTTTTATGGCTATTGCAAATCTACTTGCCATTCCTTTTCTTGACACTTGAGAAAAAAAGTTCCGGGAAAAACAGAAAAGGCAAAACCAGATCTTTATTCTGAGTTGTGACTGTGCAAAATCATGGAAGGTACTGTAGTTGTATCAAACCCTGTGAACCAGGTTTGACCTGATAAATGTAGAAGAATTTATCAGATCTGGTTGGTTGAAGTTCTGTGTTGCTTGCACATTATTTTTTGCACATTAGTTGTCATTTAAGTATTTGTTGAAAAAAGCCTGGATCTGTGGCCAAGCATGAACCTGAGCTCCCCACCCAGGACTGCCCGCTTGTGAAAAATGGGATGGTTTACTATGGGGTACAAAGGGAAAAAGGGAGGGTCAATACAGTGCCCTGTTCCAGGGTAGGAGAGAATCTGAGAATTTTTCTTCCCTTGAGCCTGCAGAAGCTTGCAGACTTCAGTAGCATGGTACTCACTTTTGACAACATGATCATCTTTTCCCAACAATGAATAGTAACTGTGCCTCAGCTTTCTCTGCTGGGATCAGGCTTTGGTTGCCAGGGGCTTGAAAGGGGTCAATAAGGGTGTCAGAACAATCAAGAATATTGGAATCCATGACCTTGGCATATTGTTCATAAATGGGCAAAGAGGGGATGGTTTTATCCTTGTAACAAAGAGGAACACCTGTAATGGCCACAAGGCCATTGAGGGAAGCAACAGCTGTGATGTTCTTCAGGAAGGCGGCCATGGCGAGAGACAGATCAGCTCCTTTGGAGTAACCAAGCAGTCCAACCCCTGGTCCCTTCACCTGGTAGACAAGAGGAAATCCTTATCAGTACTGAGCTGAAAAACACAACAGCTAGTTCCTGGAGGGGAATGTTGTATAATGCTGAGAGTTTGCAAAACACTGTGAAGGAGGTGATGGCAATGATTTGTTTTCTTTCTGGACAAGTGCCAAGGACCTTCTCCTCCCTTCAGACCGTTGCCTTTAGTAATGTTCTCTGACACACTGACATCAGCCAAAAGATGGGGAATGTGATTTCACCAATTTAAGGACAAGTGGTAGGACACAGCTAAGAGTTACTAGTGTTAGACGCTGGCAGATGCTGTTTTCACTTTTGAGACTGTAGGAGGACATTTGCTGGCAATTCACGAAGGCTCTCTCCTGCACAACCTTCCCACCTTGTATCTCAGCTGTCTCTTGAGAGATTACTTTGTGATCTCTCTCCACTGCCCTTCCAGTGCATATCTAACCCTTCCTCTTTTCTAGAACTCAGACACCTAACCTCCTGGCAGATGCCAGCTGTGCCGGGTGAGTATTTCAGCAGCTTCCTCCAGAGATGACTCAGGCAAAGGGACAGGCACTTTGAAGAAGTGTTTCCTGGAGCTTAGGAGACGTGGAAGGTGCTCCTACCTGTGGGTGCTGTAGCATATAGCTCATCGCCTCTTCAAAGTATTCCAGGTGGAGTTCAGTTGGCTCCTGGAGCAAATCCTCACATTGATAATAAGCCAGGGCCAGTGTGGCAAAGCCATGATTGGCCAGCAGGCTGGCTCTGTGCTCAAAAATACCTCCTCCAAGTCCATGTATGTCGATGATCCCTGGAAAGGGGTCTTCTCCTGGAGCAGACAAGACAAAGAGCAGTATCACCTGAAATGACTCCTTTCAGTGTTTCTCTGGTGTAAAATGCATCAAACCAGGTACACAACAGGAACTCCGGAAAAGCATCTTTTTGGGAAAGGACTTGATCATTCACTCAGCTGTGTGGTGTCAGCAGCTGAAAAAACCCTAGAGTATGTTGCAGAGGAAGAAAGGCTTAGGAGCAGAACCTCTTGGGTAAGGTGCAAACCCTTATTTGTTTTAGGGATCAGCAGTATTTCTGCATCGTGCTTGGGCCAACAGGCAGAGACTGTTTGGTGAAGGTGTCTTGTCTCAGCTTCTCTTCTACCTGTAAGCAGGCATGTAACAACGACCACTTCACCTGGCACTGTAAAAATCCACAAGGTATCATGATTTGATAGATGTAGTACTATTAAACTAGAAGCTGTAAGCATTTGTGTTTGTATTGTGGCTTTTGAACATTTGGGATCTCTTGTAAAGTGGTAAGTGGGATCCACCCAACTAGCACTTAATCTCTTTGAGGATCATGTCTCTGACTGTGATCAGTATTAAATTCTGCATAGGACGCCATGGGTATCTCACTGGGTGATCAGAAAATCATTGTTTAGAGGTTTCCTTCTTGGCACAGGATCCTCTTTTCCTCACCTTGTGAAAATCCTACTCCAATCCACCCAGTGCAAGGGAAGAGGGTGCTTTTTTTTGCATTCCGGCAGCCTGATGGGTTTTGGGACTGCAGGGCCCAGAGAAGCTCCACAGAGGCCCCAGGCCAGAGAAGGTGTCCCTGGCCATACTGGGGAGTGGGTAAGACCCAGCTCACTCCTACTCTTGGCTTCAGGAGAGCCACAGGCCTGAGTGCGCTCATGCCTCCCACTCTTCATGGCCTTCCTGCCACAGTCTTACACCCTGCACTGTGATGTCCTGTTCATCCTCAAATATGGCTGCAGGTGGAAGGTGTGAACATGCTGCTGGGGGTCGTGGAAGAGAGGGGTGTGCACAGCATCTGCTTGCTCTCTGCCTTGGTGTTAAGAAATACTAGACATTTAGCTTAAATAAGTAAGTTTTAAATAGAATTAATCACTCATTTAGCATTATGATGCAGGGGCTACAGCGAAATGTTGTGCAATTTGGTATGCTGTTTGTTTATTACTTAGCATAAGTAGCTAGATTTGCTGAAGCCTTAGGCTGCAAGCTGTGAACTTTCACCTAGATATGCTTTTTGCTGGGGTAATTTTCTTCTTAGTAGCTGGTACAGTGTTGTATTTTGGATTTAGTATGAGTATAATGTTGATGACACTCTGATGTTTTAGTTATTTCTAAGTAGTGTTTATCCTAAGTCTAGGACTTTCCAGCTTTCCATGCTCTGCTAGCGAGCAGGTGTACAAGAAGTGCAAACCAGAAGATAAGGAGGCTACAGCTGTCAGCAGGAGCTGCAACTCAACAAGATAAGAACAGTTAACTGTCTGCCTGGAGACAGAGAAAGAATCCAATAACGTGTTAGAAAATCCTGGACTGGAAATCACCACTGGACCAAAAATGCACCTGAAAGGTGTGTGAAGAGCACGTGAGGGGCGGGTACATAGATTGTTAGGGTATAATTGCCCAGAGATTTCTTTGTTTGGGGTGCCTCTCTGGAGGAACCCATCTTGAGCTGTTTGTTGGGTTTTTTTGTTTTGTTTTTTATGCTGTGCCATCTGAATAAATTATTATTATTATTTTTATATAAAATTCGATACCTGAGACTGCTACGGGAAACCTAGGGCTGAACCTGGCAAAAAAGAAGCACTCCAGAGTGAGAACGTGTATGCGAAAGGAGTCGAAAGGAGCACCTGTTGACTCACTGGAGTCACCCACTGTAAAGGGACTTTAGTCATAGCAGGAAAGACTTGGGTGGTATGTGTGTGACTCCTAGGATGGTGTATGTGTGCTCGAGTGGTCTCTCCCTTAACACTGGACTAAGGAGAGCCTTACTGTCCACAGTGGTACTATGCTCTTCCTTCTTGCATGCAAGCAACAGCACATCTACTGGCTCTCCATAGACTGTAAGCATTCAAAGTAGTATCTGTGTACCCGAGAGGCCAGGAGTGCGTTGTCTGTGGCCCACAGCTCAGCTGAGTGTAACAGGGGTCTGTGGGCTTGCACTGAACATGCACAGAAAAGGTGGTAATGCTGAACAAGGTGCTCAAGGGAGGTGGGATAGTACTATAGCAAAAGCCCTTTGAGCTATCCACCTTTTCATGGCCGTGGTCATTTGCTGAGGAATATCCAGCTCCTGAATCTGAATGTGGAACATTCCCAGGAACAGAAAATCATGGTGAGGGTATCTCAGTGCAGGACAATTTGAGTGTGGTGAAATCATGGTGGCAAAACACATCTCCAAATGGAACTGTGTAACAGAAATACTGGCTACAGACCAAGCTTACAGTCTTGCTAAGCTGAAGATTGGCTGTGGTGGTGGCAGGATGAGAATAAACCCCTTCTATCCTGTGCCTAGGAGACAATTCAAAGTGCCAGGGAGTGAGGCAAGGGCCTATCATTTTAAAACACACAGAAAGGAGTGGGTTGGGGCACACTGAAGAAATGCACCAGCATTTGGCTTACTCTAAGTGCCTCAGCTCAGGGGAAGCAGGACATTTTGGGTACAGAATGTATGCAGGTGGCTTCTTCCATCTCCTGGTCAGCAGGTGGGGGTGGGGGTAAGATAGGGGAGGGAGCACTGTCCTTGCTGTGGGTGAGATGCTAAGCCTGTGAAATCAGCCGTCCAGCCCCCTGGACTCTGGCAGGGAAGTCTCAATGTAGCTGCCTAGAAGATGCTGCAGCCTGGTGGTGTCTTGGGCAACTCTTACACCTCATAAAGGTGCTCTGCACCTTTTCCAAAGCAATTATATTATTGTATTTTCCTGCTGGAAAGGTTTCAGCCCTGTAAATGTTCTTGAGCTGCTCCTCTTGCCCCTTTAACAAATGGATGATGTCCACAGGAACCCCAACATGGTGGACCATTGTCTCCTTGTAGTTAGTTGCTACTGTGCTAGGGGGAGAGGGAGGACTGGCACAGAGCACCTCTCCACCACTCTCTTCTGCAGCTTCTCACCTCCAGCAGCCCTCCTGGCATGCTCACTTCCACTGTGCACGTGTACATGTACATGTAACCTCAAGCTGTGGGCAAGAAGAGTTATTCCTCTGCCTGCTTCTGCCACCATGTGCTAGTGCTTGCACAGCGAGGTGAACTGGGAATGATGGTCAGGCTGTTTGGTGGTGCAGGAAGGAGGGAGGGAGGAAGAGAGAAAGGGAGGGAGGGAAAGAAGAAAGGAAAGAGAGGGGTTTTAGTGAACTCCTATTTACAGAGGTCATGGAACAGCTTGCACTGACAAACATCAGTTTAGGGAAAACAGGAGGGCTGCAGCTGGTACTTACCAGGGGGCAGGAAAAGTGTTGCCCGGATCCTCCCCTCTCGCACCGGGACCCTCCGCACCCCGTCCCGCAGGAACGCCCGCTCGTGCTGCGCCTGGGCCAGGAGCCGCCTGGGGGGCTCCCCGTGGCCCTCAAACACCTCCAGCTGCAGGAGGAAGGGGCTCTGCACGTCCCGCTTCACCAGCCGCCTGAAGGGCTTCTGGGGCTGCAAAGCCCAGAGCAGCCCCATGGGCTCCAGGCTGGAGAAGTTGCCTCCCGGCAGCGCGGGGCAGCGGGTGAGGTCCAGCTCCCCATCGTTCCCCGCCTGGTAGCGGGTGCAGGCCTGGAAGAGCTCGCGGGCTGAGGCCCTGCACGGCGATGGCCAGCGGCTCATCGAAGAGGCTGCGGGTGACAGGCGAGAGGCGGATGGAGGGGGCCATGGAGGACAGGCTGTGGGCAGAGGTCGTCCCGGGGGTCCGCACAGGACGGCAGTGCTGAAGGGTGGCAGGTATGGGGCTGGGCCAAGGCAGCTGCCTCAGCGAGCCTAGAGAGCTTCCCCAGCACAGGGAGCGGACAGTGATCCGCCACATGGCTCCTGAGTTGCTGCCTTCACTGAGTCTGCATTCAAGCTGAGGCTTCTTCTACAAATGCAGCTCACCGCACACGGGCAATGGGAGGGGAACTGGGACAGGAGCTGCGTGGGCCCCCACCGTGCTGTGAAACATCAAGGCTGTCTGGAGCCGCCACTGCAGCCCTGCCAGAGCCTGCGGCAGGGCAGGATCAGCACAACCAGCCCCCTGGCATTGCGGGAGCATCTCCAAAGGGCGGCAGCTCTGCCCAGACACTCATTGGGAAATAATGTTCTTAACTGCTGTGGTGGCAGTTCTCTAAACCAGGCCTGCTGGTTACTGTCCTTGCAGGACTTGATCCAGGAGAAGGCGCAGCTGCAGCTCTCCTCTCTGCATATCTGACAGCCAGCCAAGGTCAACCCACCACAGCTAGATACCAGCAAACGCTTTTTACTTTGTATTTTTTAGACTAAGGGGGCATATGATGACAATTCATGAAGGCTGCTTTGAAAAATGCATGTCCCTCTCCTACACAACCTCCCCACCTAATTATGTCTCAAACACTATCTCCAGGGGAAGTCAGTGTAGTGATCCTGAAGAGAAGACCATTGTACATCAGGCAGCTAGTGACCCACAAGAGTTAACCCCAACATGCTGCCCCTGCCCTGGTTTTTAGCTGAGACAGAGCTGGGTTTCTTTTTAGTAGCTAGAATAGCGCTGTATTTGAGTTTCAGTATGGGATTTGTTATGAGAGAAACATTGTTAACATGCCAATGTTTTCAGTTTTGTTGCCTTTGTGTTCTGTCAGTCTACAAGTGCAAGATCTAAGGGAGTGAAGAATATTTAAATTAATTAGCTAAACTGGCATTTGGATATGCCAATGGGATATTCCATATCATGGAATGTCATGTTCAGGATATTAGTGAGGGTCTCCTCCTCTCTTGCCCTCTCTGCCTGTCGCTCGGGCTCTCGCTCTTCCAGGATTGTGGTTTTGGTTTGGGATTGTCACTCCTCCAGGATCATTATCTGGGAATGGGCTGGGCCTTGTCAGTGGGTGGTGAGCAATTGTACTGTGTATCACTTATTTGCGTATTTTACTACTACTATTATTAGAATTATCAGAATGCCTCACCCTAGCTGAAATATTATGCTGTTTTAGAAAACAGGGGCGAGGAAAAGTTAGAGCTAAGAATTGTGCCATCTTTGATTGTTATTAACGTGCTTGAAACAGACACAAGGGTGCTTAGAGTAGAGAGAGGTCAGAGGACGAGTGCAACATTTCTGTCCAGCCAATATCGATTTGCAAAGCAAAGGGGCCCCCAGGGTTTCCTCAGCATGCTCTCATGGTGTGTGATTCTCCACAGCCCAAGTTTCAAGATTTAGCAAAAGTATACGGGAAAAAGACAGGGGAAAGGCTGGCACACTGATGGTTGCAAGTGTGGGACTTCGGAGGAGATAGCGTACACTTAAATCCAAAGCAATTACAGTGCTGGGGTGCCATCTTGCAAAACCCTGATGACCCAGCAGCTCAGAGGAGCATAGGGTAACACAGCCTGCTCCTTTTGGGTATGGCTTCAGGGGGCTTTAGAGACAGAATATCCTTCACCTGCTGACTGGGACAATAAAACAGCATTGTGGAAAAGTATATCTGAGGCTTGTCAGTATTTAAAGGAACTAGCCACACGGACGGGCATGTATTCATGTAACTTCCTAGGTCCTGATATGGAACTTTTTTGCATACAGCCTGAAAATCCCTGTATTAGAGGGTGCCCCATTTGCCTTGAAAGGACCAGTACTTACCTTGCTAGGGGCTGCTGAGGGAAAACCAGTTATTTTCCTGCTAAGGGGAGGTTATTTTATCACTGAGACAGCTTACAATTATCTGATTGAAAAAGAAGACAGAAAGAGCCCGAAGCATTTCAAATTCAGCAGCTCACATTTGCTTGGGAACCTCTTGCTGTACTGTTCGATAAGGGCAGGGCCACGCAGGTGGTAGAACTGCTGGCACTCTGTGGGAGCTGCCTGCAGGCTCCACTTTTAGGCAGAGTTGGATGAGTTTTCCTGTGGCCAAAGGAACTTTGCAGCACAGCACAGGCCTGAAGGCCACACTGTATGTGCAGCATGGCACAACACAAGCACACAGAACAGTGACCATCACCGAATTTGCCTGAGTAATGAGAGTACTTCCCTCAGTAGGGCAGACCGCTTTAAAAGTGTAAGCACACAGATGATTTAGACTGCAAGAAAATCCACTAGCTTCCTGAAGTTACCTCAAGTGTAGTAATATAGAGTCATAGAATCATTTGAGTTGGAAGGGACCTTAAAGATCATCCAGTTCCAACCCCCGTGCCATGAGCAGGGACACCTTCCACTAGACCAGGCTGCTCAAAGCCTCATCCAACCTGGCCTTGAACACTTCCAAGGAGGGGTCAACCTCTGGGCAATATGGCTGGTAAAGGAAAAAATAAAATAAAATAATTAAGCACTTCTCACTCAGCCATGCAGGGTCACTCCTAGACCAGATACCTGTTGTAATCACATTTGATTTCTCCACTCATGCCAAAGCCCTTCTTGCCCCCAGATGAGACAGTGCGATCCGGACTGCTGATTCACACCTAGCAGGTGTGAGGCAAGAACAAGACAGAACACTTTCTCAACAATGTGTGTTTATTTTGTTAAAAATTAGTTACACTTGCACCAGAGGCTTCTTCGTAGTCAGAATGCCCTTCTCAAACAGGAGCGTGGCTAGAGATATCTTGTCCTCCAAGGTTTCACATGGGAGGGTATCCACAGTGACGTGGTTTGGATAGGAAGACAGGAGAAGTTCAATGCTGTCGGTATACTCAGGATCTATCTCAAGGAACTTGGGTTCTTCCTTGTGATACACTCTTGAGTTTTCTGTTGCGTAATACAGCATCACACCTGCTGCTTCATTACACAATCTAATGATGCCATGGCGGAGGAGACGTACTTCTGTGTCTTTTGTGATCAGTATATCGACATCACAGGGGCCTCCATCTTGCCAGCGGGCTGGGAAGCCGTACACACTCTGCGCCTTTTCACTCTGCGTAAGCACTGGGGGGAGACAGTCATGAAGAAATGACTTGGCTCTCTGATCCACGGCAGCATCAATAGGTGCATAGTCAATGAGTTTCTTTATCAGGCTCTGCACCTTCTCCATAAAGGCTGTTCGGCGAGCATCCACTGTGTCCGAGTTGGCCACCCCCATGTACCCCAGGTAGTCCATGGGAAGCCCTTGCCGGTACTCCACATCCTCCTCCAGGGCCATCTGCAGGGCAGCTGGGAGGAGCTTCTCCAGCAGGTCCCCCCAAGAGTTCCTCTGGTAGGAGGACACCGTGATGTGGAGCGAGTGTGCATCAGGGAGACAGTTGCCCTGGTGGATAAAGCCACGGGGGAAGTACAGCAGGTCCCCAGCCTCCAGCACCGTCTCCAGCACAGGCTCACCGAGCTCGGCCTGTGTGAGGTTTGCGCTGGAGAACTGGGGCAGCACCTCAGCATCCGTCCGGGGGCTGTAGACGCGCCAGCGCTTCTTCCCCTCCAGCTGCAGCACAAAGGCCTCGATGTCATCATAGTGGGGGGCGAAGCCCTGCGTCCCAGGTGGCGTGAGGTACGTGTTGGCCCCTGCCATGCTGCCGAAGTGCTCCTGCAGGATGGTGAGGAAGTTCCAGACAGTGAGGGAGAAGGCCTGGGGGCTGAGGAGCCGCAGGGA